TAATTGAAATTGGCTATATACAGATCTTGCAAGCCTCATTGTATTGTACCTTCTCCTCCTCCTCATAGTTCGGTGAATTAGGAAGGCATCCACCTGAGCTGCTTCCAAAGGTTATCTCGTTCCTCTGGACTTAAAATTGTTTCAGACCCTTTTGTCTAGGTAACGTTTCTTGCATCTCTGTGTCAAGGTTATGTTCATTACTCCCTGCAGGTTATGCTGGAGTTGTAAAGTACCGTGGGGTGAGAATTGGTGGCCTCTCTGGCATTTTCAAAGCTCATGACTACAGAAGAGGTATGTGTGGGTAATCCTGCAAGCTCTTGTTTTAAACAAATATGCCATTGAAATGTGGGTGGCTTGGTTGTAGTGCTTTTTGCTGCTTTTATTGCTATTGATATATGAGTTTAGGATTGCTCAAATGTCATGGGAAGCTGGTTATCAAGCTAGGATCTGAAACTACAGTGTGATCTTGGGTTCTTTCACTAACACCACTTTGCATGTTCATATGTTATGGAGAACTGACATCTGTTGAAAAACGTCTATCCCATGTACATGAAAACTGTTCAATTATCTAAGAAAGGGAGAAGCAACCCGATGTCCTCTAGGTGTCCCAAGAAGCATGGCCAATAGCAAGAAATTGTGGGAGTTTAGATCCAAAACAAATGGAGGACTGTTGTTTTCCTATTTCTTCTACAAGAATCTGGGGCAAAGCAACTCACTGCAACATTTTGAACTGTGCCATTTGAAGCAAAAATTTGACAACAAAACATTCTGCCTTTTTAGTAGAAAAGCTCTTCTAAGCTCACTTTTTAATGCATATGAAGTTTTACATGCTAAGTTTCTGTAGAGCCAGCGTGATGTTGTGGCTGAATGCCAGATTAAAACTGGGCAAACAATCCTCAGATTCCTCACTTGCCAGGCCAGTGAGCTTTGGGTCAGTCAGAATCATCCCTGCCTACTTCATAGGGTATAAATGGCAGTGGGGGGATTTCATATCAAGCATTTGGGAGAAAACTAGGAATACAAATGGAATAGATGGAATTTGGATGTTTTCTACCAAGTGCTAAAGTGGAACTATCCTGACACGGTTTTGACATGTAATGTCCATGATGCTGTTTATCTAGCCATTAAAATAGGCAGGCTTGCATTTTGATATTCAGAGATATAATTCAGTCCTACCTACTATCTCGCAGAGATGGGAGCTCTGGCATTAGTCCCAGGAATCATAGCTTAGTTGGTAAGATATAAATGACATTCTCCCATCAGCACATAATCTCAAAGGTCCCTCTCAGGCTACTGCTGGAGGGCTAGATTGGAACTAATAAAGCAGACGCACAAGAACCCAGGAACTTCTGATCAGGTGGTTTTATTACAGAAAAGCTAAGGAGACATTATGAAAGAATTCTAGTGACTTATGTATCAAAGGCCAGTTTTAATGGTAGCAAAATCAACATTTAGATTCTTGCTCCTCTTTCTTCCACCAAAGCTATGCAGTAGGCTTTGTGGCCCTCTCTTTTGACTGGGTGGTCCTGTTTGTATGCGTCCCATATTTTGGTAACAGACAAATCTGATATCAGATTGTCTTCCTCTGACTATGCAAGAGCTAACTCTTCAGTTCTTGTTGAAGCCAGAGAGATGACCCAAAGTATAGCACAATTTTCAGCCTGGCAGGTCTTTCTGTTAAAGTCATGTCTCATTTGAATTAAACTCAACTTTCGCAAACTTACATAGATTCATCTTTGCAATTTTTTTGACATGATATGGATGTGACTTACCATTACTGCTTTCTAGAATTTTATTTTTAAGTTGATAGTTTAGCCTACAGCCCTGGACTTCCCATGCACGTATTAACCAGGGCCTGTCTTTCAAGGTGAGCTAAAGTCAACTAGCTGGTGTGATTTCTTGATGTAACTGTTTCAAGTCGCTGTTTCTTAATTTGTTTCAGGTCACTTTGAGTATCCTCCTTACAACCAGCAAACAATACGAAGCATTTATCATGTAAGAAATATTGAAGTTTTCAAGCTCAAACAGGTAAATTTAAATATCATCTTGTCTGTGCATTGGGCTCTTCTTCATATTGATCCCAACCATGTAAAGTGAAGTAGGAGGTGCTGTAAAGGAGGGCCATTGCACAACAGAATTATAGAGTTGGAAGGGCCCACAAGAATCATTTAGTCCAACCTCTGTAGGAGAGGTGGTTGTCCACCCTCTTCATAAAAGCCTCCAGAGATGGGTCACTCACAACCTCCAGAGACAGACTGTTCCTGTGGTCCTGGAAAATAGGTCTTGACTATTTTCTCTAGGTTCCATATATGTATGTGACAATGGCTATCATGTCTTCCCTAAGTCATCTTTTCTCTACATAGAACATCCCAGACAGAACTTTTTATACCAGGCAGATTTTTTGAGGTTCACCTCTGTAATCTTCCAGCACCAAATCAAATCAAATCTTTACCACAGTCAGACCAGCATACCTCTACCACCAATCTTCCTTCTCCTCTGAGGTCCACACAGGCATGTGTAGCTCTCTGTGATGGAAGAATTGAAAGCTGGGTTAGGTCTCAGACATATCTTTGTGTCCTGGTGAATATGACTTCTAATTGTTGCAAGGCCCCAGCATTAAATCTGGACTGGTTATAGAGTTCTCTTTTTAAAAATTATCTCTGTAACTCTGTTTGTACTTCATGCCCAATCATGGTTTGCTTAACCATAATTTATTGAATAAACCATAGTTCGCTGAGTACATACCACATGATAACCCAATACTTTACAAACCATAATGGCTGTTCAGCAGCTAAGCTGGGATCATATTGGCTTAATGTGAAATGCTCTGTGCAAATCTAGTTTATATTTAGCAAATCCCAGTGAGATGTAATATGTTCCCCTTCTCCCTAAATGTTCATCAACATCATCTGCTACTAAGGTGGGCAGTCTGATATCCTCAATATATCTGGGGCTACAGCTCCTCGGATTGACTGATTTTGCAGCTTCTGTAGCCTGCCCGACTCAAAAGACTGCAGCCGGATAACTGCAAAGCAAAATTATCAGTGCAACAATAGAAGTAAATCAAAATTAGTAACAACAAATCAACCATCCCTCTAGGTAGACACCAATAAAACTTTGCTAGGACTCAAAGTCCAGTGAAATAAAACTGTCTTTAAAGATTGGTGGGAGATTTATGATCTTATCTTTTGGCTGAGGCTGATGGGAGTTGTGATCCAGAACATCTGGTTGTTTGCACCTGCCCTACTGTCTTTCCTTTACCATGAGTGGCGACAGTTGCGCTTCACTTCTGTTGTTTGGTTTCGGGTTGACAGCTCAAGCAGCCTATGGACGTATTTTTGTCCCACGACTGGCCTAGAAGCATCTACCATTACGGAAACACGAAGTTGCTGCTTAAGAAGAAATCCTTCTTCCGCTCAGAAGTGGAGAACAACACTTTAGGGAGCCCAGCCGCGTCAGAGCTCCTGCAGCACCTGAAACCCACCTACTGGTTCTCGGCACATTTGCATGTCAAGTTTGCAGCACTAATGCAGCATCAGGTAAGAAATGCACAGGATGGGGGTTGCTTTCTATAAGTTAAGTGTATTGTTTGTAATGAAAACTGGAGAACTGGAGAATGTTAATGGTGGACATAATCTCCCAATTTTGCAAAATGTTTTACAAGAATAAACTGTGTTAGTACTCAAAGACAATCTGTTTCAAACTATAATAGTTAAAATATAAGCTTCTTAAGGGAGTCCCAAGTTGGTTGGTTACTTACTATTTATTTATTAATTCAACATCTAAGGTTACCCACTTGCCAGCTACTCAGGGCAGCTTACAGAAGGTTAAAACAAGTTATAAAGTTCAATTAAAACAATAGTAAAGAATGGCCAGGTTGTGGGAACAGGAAAACCGACAGCAGTAAAATAATATCAACTCAAATGGTAGGATTCACACCACTTCCTGGCCTAGTGCCTATGGGAAAAGCCAGCCCAAGACTGTCTTAAAGGACAACAGGGTCGGGGCCATATGGAACTCAGGAGGAACGGTCTTTCCTAGGACTAGCGTGACAGCAGAGAAGCATCCCTCCTGAGTCCCCTAAGATGACATTGTTCGATAAACAGGACCCAGAATTTATAGGAGAGTTCCCTTCTCCAGATAGAAATGCTCCTTTGAGACACATTTCGGACCTCATGACCTTGAACAAGCATGCTCTCAGCTCACCCTGCCCTGAGAAAGAAATAATGGGGAGAGATCTGACTGATTTTGGGGAAGAAGGTTGTTTGAGGAAGAAGATAATTGGAGTGCTGATATTCACTAAACGTAAGGTAGCAGACTATAGAAGTCCTAATATTTATATCAGTGAGTTTAGTAACTAGTCATTAGACATTGGACCTTGGGAGAAACTGCAGAACCCGCTATGCATTCTCTGCCCAGGACTCACTAGCTGACCTTCATGCTTTACTCCCCAAGATTTCCAATTTCCCTGTTGCCTTGAGATTTCAGCAAAATATCAAGAGGTGTTTTTTTATTTCTTTTATTTCTTTCCAAATTAATTGTTTTATTACATTATAAAATGCAAATAATACATTATAGAATACAGGTGACAGCTGAGTACGGTGGTATTTATGCAGTAGAAACTAGAAATTGTTAAGGCTACGATGATTGGATAAATTGAACCTTTAAAAAAGTTTATATCAATGTTAAACATAATTTCTAAAATGTTAATGAAGATAACATTGCTTAAATTATACAATTGATGCTAAGTATATCATGGATAAACTGTTTTAAAATGCATTGATTTGTTTTATAGTATGAGAAAAATTTTGATCTTTGAGCTTAATACTAAGGTCTCCACTGTATTATTATTTATAAATGTTTAAAAAGGTGCTGTTTTTTTAATCGATGCTTTTAGGGGGAGTGATAACTTTATGTATGAGTTGCCATGACCATCTGTAACATTCTGCTTTGAACCAATCCTAGCGGAATGGGCCAGCTGAGGATCTTTACAAGGGGCAGATATCACTGATTGATTTGCATGATGACGCGGCTGCCCCCTGCAAAAAAATCAAGTGTACCTTTTTAAAAATTGCCCCAAATCTCACATGAGAGCAAGATTTGGCCATCTCGTGTGATTTCTGAAAGATATGTGTAGCTTTCCTGTAAGATCAGTGGGGTGCCATTTAGTTGGGTCACACTGCTTCGGAGCCTTTGTCACCTGCATTCCCAATTCCTGCCCATCCCTTACCTAAAGGATGGCTTCAAGTGGGTGAGTCTGGATTTCTCTTGTGTCCTGAAACACTTCTGCCAATCAGGGGCATAGTGCTAGGTTAGGTGATGGATTGATCGAAGGTATGGAATGAGAAGGCTGATAGATTCAAATCAAATCAAAACTTCTGGCACTTCCTTCCCACTCCTAGTTCCACCCCCCAAACATGTTCTCCATATGTGGGGGGAGCCTTTCACGGTATGATTGCCCTTGTTCTTGCTTTTTAGGCTGATAACAGTGAACAGCAACCCCAAATCACCAAATTTCTGGCCCTGGATAAATGCTTGCCCCGCAGGGACTTCCTGCAGGTAAAACAATCTGAACAGTTTTTCTGTTTTGACATATGTCCTAATCAGTAAGATATAATGAACTTCGGAGTCTTCTGTAGGAGGGGAGCAAAATGGTCAGCTAGCCACTTTGTGGATGGGCTTTCATTTTTTTATCTGATCTTAATTTGATTGATCAGCTGAAGCTGCCATCGCTTGACTGATCCAGTCTGGGAGAAGGATTTTAACCATAAGGATGGTACATCCTGAGAACTTGTGTCTCATCAGATTTACAGATGAGACTCTTACTCAATAGACAGCAACAATCACAAAAAAAAATCCACTCAGATGTGTTCCCTCCCCAATTTGTGCATCACCACCATTATACTTTGATACAAACCTGGGAGAAGTGAATAATATTAATAATCTGGAGTGAAAACCTTTAGGCTGACTGGTCCAGATTGAAATCTCCTAAGGTCATCGTTGACCCCTAGGTAGAGAGTCTGCATACCTACATTATAGTTAGGCTTCTGATGCATTGTTTATGTATCCCTGCCTGAAGTTCATAAATGTGTTTTCTCTGTTGTGAGAGCCAGGAGGTCTCTCTAATTTCCGATTCTTCTCTAAGATTGTAGAGATTGAGCACAATCCCAATGCACCTGACTGCCTGGAATATGACCCTGAATGGATTGCTGTTCTAAAAGCTACTAATGATCTCATTAATGTCACTCCCACTTCTTGGAACATGCCTGAAAACAATGGACTGCATGAAAAGTACGTATACTAGAATTTTGTGGGCTGGAAATTTGATCTGAAATCCCGGAGAACTGCTGCAAGTATAGACCAGGTTTCCCTCAATGGGCTAACATCTAGAATATTAGTCCAGTGAGGGAAACCTAGTCTATGCTTACAGTAGTTCTCCAGGATTTCAGACCAATAGGTTTCTCAGCCTTACTTGGATTGAATCAAGGACTCTTTGTATGTAAAGCATGTGTTCTGCCTATCAGCTTCTGCCCATATGGGTGATAGCCCTGTTAAGTTACAATTTAAAACTAGGGTGGGCAACCTATGGTATTCCAGATATTGCTGAATTGCAACTTTTGGAGTTCCACAGTTTCTCCATTCTTGATTAAAGCATATGGAGGGATACAGGATAGGAAAAGCTTATTTCACTGAACCTCTGCACTTTTCACCTTTTGTAGATGGGACTACAGTGTTACGGAAGAAGATATCAGGAAGGTTTTGGAAGAGGTCAATCATGATCTTCTGATTCCCCAGAACTTCAGCATTACAGATGCTTGTTATAATTCAAAAAAGTCTCAACAAAAGACTGAACTGATTCATAGAATCAGCCCCCAGACTACAGAGTTCTGTGCCCGGTTTGGTCTTGTGGACATTAACGCTAAAATTCAACAATTGAAAGAAGAGCACAGAGATGATGTGCATCAGGGTGAAGAGGAGGAGGAGGAGGAAGTAGACAGTACTGAATCAGTGGAGGAGTCTAGTGACTATAATGCCGATATCTCTGGTTTATCTTCTATCAACCCTGATGAAATAATATTGGATGATGATAGCTGTGATGATGATTTTGAGACTTCTGGAGGACCATCATCTGATCACTCCTGTAGTACCTCAGCAACTTTTTCTGATGTCAGAATCCTGCCTGGCTCTATGGTAGTGTCACCCAATGATACTCTGGATATTGTAGAAAGTGAACTGGAGAAATCCAGCAATGGAAATCAGACAGAAGAGCAAAGCCCTGATGAGAAGTCTTTGAAGCGCCTAAGTGATGAGAGCAAAGAAGGAACAGTCGGCCCAAAGAGAATCAAAAGGCGAAACCAGGCCATCTATGCTTCCAAAGATGAAGATGACCCAGTAGAATGAGAAACCCTTTTGTTGATTGACCTGAGAGGTGAGATCAGTTCACTGGTGTGCCTGAGAACTTGTGGTAGCTTGAGAGGTTGTGAAGCACTGTATAGTTTTGATATTGTGATTGTAATAAAAGCCTTATTTTTTAAATAGTAGCTTTTATAATAAATCAAATATTTTATTGACATCAACAGATTGATTTGGAAGAAAGAAATATATGTTTTTGTGAACCAGAAGCTAATGGAAAACTTTTTACATTTTTATATGGATTTTTCCATACAATTTTGAATTGTTTTGATGAATTCAGAAAAAGCTATCTTTTTTGCATCTGATGGAATGGGTTCAGAGGGATTTCACTTTCACTAAAATTCACGCTTTTCTTTCACCATCCAATTTGCTTTTATGTCCAAATCTTATATTATCTTATAATATAATATAATATAATCTTATAAATAAGTCTTCTCAAGTGGTTTCTGTCATTTGTTCAGGTCAGCCGTAGAATCAAATCAAGTATCTTTATTGTGGGTCACAGACCAGATAAGCCACAGAATTGAAACAAGGATAGATAGTATGGTATCCTCCAGATGTTTTGCACTACAGTGTCTGCAAGCCCTCGTCATGGACAAATGTTGAGCATTATGGGAGTTGTGGGGGGCCTAAGCCTGTGTACTTCTGGAATAACCTGTGTGATATTAGCTGTCATCTCTAGGAGGATCCAGACAAAATAATATTTTGTGAAATTGGAAAAGTAAAATAATCTTGTGAGTTGGGCAGTGCCAGAAGTGGAAATTTCTTCTCTTTAGTGTCATAACATTCTAGGATCATGTGTGTGTGTAAATGAATCCTTTACAGAAACAACACCACTTGCTTTCAGGCTCTGTTTTACAATTTGTGAAAGGAAGAGCCATCTGTGTATCTGCTTTTGTGCCAGCATATACAACATGAATTTTATTATTCTCCTGGTTTAGAGTTCATGCAAAGCCATCGTTTAGGGCAACAAGGATGAACTTCAGCTGTTGTTTGCATATTTTTTCTCCTTCAAATCATTATGTTAACTATGGATTGGCTGAATAAAGCAACCTCTGAACTATGGGTTATGAAACTCTCTTGTTTTTGCAAAACATAGTTAATATTAGTTGCGGTTTAGGATTGGATTGCATGTTAAACTGCAGCTAGTGCAATTCAGAAGATGAAATATTCTACATACAACTAAATCTGGATTACTTACTCTGTTTGCAACTCCAGATACCACTTCACCCCATAAATGTTGACTGTTGTAAATTCACGATTTTAATTATAAAAAGTAGTTTGGATGAGTTCTGGCAATGTAGATTGTACTATTTTATTAATGTTGCATAACAGTTAATACTAAAAATTATTCTTTCCTCCCTACATATACCAACAGCTATTGGAATTGCCTTCTCTGGTGGCTTACATCTTTTATTATTCATTTAGCATTAAACAAAAGCAGCAGTATCTTTTGCCACAGCTAGTAATGAACATCTGGCTTGTGAAGGCCTTTTGTTTTCTTTCTGTTTTGCAAGCTGATGTATAAAACAAGTTGATGTGTCCATGTACATCTCCCTTAAGTTCACTGTTCAATGTGCATCTTTGAAGCACCTTTTTATGAAGGAAAAAAAAAACATTGAGGAGATGCAGCGTATTGCAGCCATGTTTGCAAAGCACTGAGAGTGAAAGGAGTAGGAAGGATTTTTTACCTGTGGAAATGATGCTTATGAAAACCAAATCAACTGAAAAACTGCTGGAGAGGCCAGATGCCAGGAGAGGGCATCCTTGCACAACAATGCCACCACTGGCTAGCTCTCTAGTTCTGCCACTAAAAATTTCTGTGACTTTCACATGGCAGCTGTGTCAATTTGTGGAATCAAGAAACCTGAGTCTTGATCCGCAGTATTCATTGGATCACATTGACTTTTTGACCACATCCTGCAGACACCCCTGTTAAAAATCATAATCTGATGACAATTTTTGGAAAGGATTCAGTGTCTTACCTACTGCTGGGAGGGCAGGGTGGGATCACGAAATGATGAGGCCTTTTTTAATATGCTTTTTTAAAATTCCAATTCAAAAATTCCAATTCAAAATTTCTTTATTATGGTCACAGACCAGAGTTACAAATGAAAGTACATTAAAGGTGCATTAAATGCATTAAGCATGCATTAAAGTGAAATGAAACAAAATATAAAAATTGGTGGGATCATCAATGGGCAGTCAAAGTCTGCCTAATTTTACAAACAGTATAACAAAATTTAGCTATGTTCAGGGAGACTAAATCATTCTCATCAGATAGTAACAGCTACACATAAAAAAGATCAGAATTTCC